CGTGAGAAACCGGTTTTGTACTTTTCATAGTCCTTAAATTTGGCATCAAAAAATCCAAATTTCCACGACGGGTTTCCCCTGCGTCTTGTTCCGACTTCGGTTTTTGAGCTTGTCCTTCCGCTTCAAAGCAAGATCGGGCTCTCCGGATGCGTGCTTTGAGAGAACAGCTCGCCGCCTGTAGAAAAGCCCCATGGAGTGCGGCGGGCGATAGGCTTTTCCTCCTCGGTGTACCCACACTCCTCCCCGCGCTTTCGACGGCCCAAGCCCAAGACTCGTCGAACGGGTGCGCGCGTACTTACTTACGAGTGCTGCTGCGGGTGGACCGGGCCGATGTGGCCACGAACAGCTGTTGTTGACGACTGACTGGCCGGACCGGACCCGCGCTCCGCCTCCTGTTGGCCTCCCGTCTCGTCCCTTCCCTTCCCTTCCCGTTCCTTCCGCTCGCCCCCAGCCTCCCCCTCCTCCTTCCCGCGCCCGCGGGTACCGCCGCACCGTCACCGCAAGATCGAACCGCGAGTGACGGCTGGGTCGGGTGGCGGGTAGGATAGACTGTCCCCCCCCCCTCCCCGCGCTGCTCTGGCCCGGTGCCACCACCCACTTCACTGCGCCGCCCGAGTTTGAACTTGAGTGGCGGGAAGGGCGGCGATAGTGGGCCAAGTGTACCCGATATCAGTTTGTGCGAGTGCTCTCGCCCTTCAAGATGGGCGGTTTCGCGCAAATATTGAATGTTGGGGCTGGCGCTCGTCGTGTGGTAGGGTGTTGGCATGGGATCGTCCAGAAAGTACGTCCATTTTTCTCTCGGTTCTGTCGGCATATCACGGGAGCTCGGCGGGCGCCTGCGAGACTCTGGATAGGCCACCCCGCAGTACGCGCATGCGACGCAGGCAGGATGTTGCCTACCCAGCAGGCGACATGAGAGTTTGCATCGGTTAAACTTGGCAGTTTCGCACCTCACGGCGGAGGACGGACGAACTTTCCGGACGATCCCGCAGCGCCAGCGGAGAGAGGTTCTGTGCGCTCCGCCGCGCGCCCGGCACCTCTGCCGGCCCCGCCCGGCGCGCGCGCTCGTTGGGCTGCCTGCCTGCCGGGGGCGCGGCCAGCCACACCTGCGGGCGCAACCTTGGGGCCGCTGCCAAGACCTGCGTCCGGCCCGGCCTGTTCGCTCCACCGTCAGTTGGCCAGTCTGGTCTGCGAATAATTTGTAGGCCATTGGCCAGGCGCGGGTTTTTACGTGCGAAAAATGTAAGGGACGAGACCAATGGAATGCAGTAGTTTATTTAAAATAGACAACAAAAAAAGAGACTCGCCGCGCCCGAGCCAGCTTAGTAGTAGCCCAAAGGTGCCATCACACTCGTGATCATCACGAGTCTTGTAAAATCAGTCGAGCTCGAGCTTCTTGAAGGACCCTTCCATGCCGAAGACGGATCCGGCGCTTTGCTGCTTGCCCGGCCTCCTCGCCTCATCGACGCGGAGGGTCGGCTCCTTGAGGAACCACTCGCGGTGCGCCTCCACCTTGCTCTTCTGGAGGTCTGAAAAGGGGGGGGGGAGTTTAATCACATGTGTTTGTGTCCACCGGCTCGTCCGGCACTGCATACTCACGGTGGAGGGTGAGCATCGTGTCCTGGGTGCCGCCGTAGTCCCGGGGCAGCGACGACTTGGAGATGTGCTCGTAGAGGCCCTCGTAGCCGCCCGAGTAGAAGTTGAGCTGCGCAGAGAACATCGAGCACGCGTTAGCGTCCGCACCCATTTGAGCGTGAGGGCGAGGGTGAGGGGCCCGGAGGCCTCCCTGGCGGCATACCCACCAAGTTGTAGAGCTCCTTCTTCATGAAGGGCTTGACCATGTTGAGGAAGCGCTCGCCCACGGGGTTCAGGTTGACGATGTGAATGGCCCTCATCTTGATGGGCAGGCCCTCCTGGATGTAAGTGAGGTACTTGCGCACGGCCGACAGCGGCATGCGGGCCACGTGGCCCAGCTGCACGCCCCGCTGGTCGTACACGAACACGTAGCCGGGCGCCGTGCCCTCCTCGCGCAGGCTCGTCTCGATGACCAGCTGCATGGCCTTGACGGCCGCGATGAAGTTGTACTGCGCGGGGTCCGTGTTGGACAGGCGGCCGACGAAGATGCGGTTGCCCTTGCGGTCTGGCTCCGGGAGGATAGTCATCTCCCTGAGGGGCAGACGCACGGGGATGAGTGGGGCGGGGCGGGGCCGGGCGGTCAGCCCTCGGGGGCCGCACTCCGAGCTGACGTGAGCCGGACGCTTCCCAAAGCTGCTGATTCATTTTATTCGTTTTTATTTTCGTGGATTTTGGTAAACCACCGGCACGCTATTCGGCTGGCGGGCAAATGGCGAGTAAAGCATTTCTGATGCGTATCTGCTGAACGTCCCCCGCGCCGCGGACGAGTTATGTCAGCCTAACGCTAGCGGACCAATCGTGCGGGCCAATGTTCTGTTCGGCCAATGTTTGCTACCTGGCTACAGGTGCATGTGTTCACTGGCTGTTCGTGAGTAAATGGACAACCCTGTTGCGTTGGTTTGCGTTGCGGCACGACGCCAGCAGGCCCAGGTCTATCCATCCAGTCGCGGGTCTGGCTGGGGTATGGGCGGTATAGGTACCCCCAGACCCGGGCCGGCTGGTACTCCGACCTGACCTTGGCGCGCAAACTTTTTTTTTCGCGATTAAAATTGCAGACTGGTTTGCTGCCTCTCAAGGACTCTCCCGCACCGAGAGAGACGGCCGGCAGCATCGGGCTACTCTGCGCTGCGCCGGCTTGTGTTTTTGTTGTTGCCTTTTTTTTCGGAATTCGCACGCGTATGTTTTGGACGTCGGTCTGGAGCGAGTTCGCTCATTGCGGCTATACCTTGGAGGCCCCCGGAAGCGGCGCCGGCGGACTCGGACCCCAGCCGCGCCTCCGCAGGCTCCGGGCTCTAGCGGACCGCCGCCGTGCCGAAGTGAAAGGGAAGGGGACAAAGAAGCGGGGCGGGGGGAGCTTTCTCTACCGCAGATCACTGAGTATGTGCTGTGCTAGCAAAAGTGCCCCCCACCCCCTTCCCCTTGCCGTGACCCGACCCCCCCGTCCGCCCATCGGTCGAGGCACCCCCTAGGCATCCCGAATGCGTTACGGCAGTCCCTGTCCCTACACTGCGTATGGTAGGGGAGGCTCACAGGATGTTGAGGATGTTCTGGATGTCGTCGTGCAGTGGGTCGCGGTGTCCGAAGAACTCGGGGGCGTGCGTCTTGATGGTGTAGTGCGCCTCCAGGGTGACCTTGGCCCTCTCCGTCAGGCAGTCGCTGCAGGCCAGGAACAGCACCAGCATGTGGTCTGTGGACAAGAGAGCACGCACCCCTCAAAGTAAGCGAAATGCAGAACAAACGGAAGCCGATGCGTCAAGCAATTCGCACGGGGTTCCTAAGAAGCTAAGCTGTTCCTGCCGCCCGGCCACTGCTCCCGCCCCGTCAGGATCTTCTTTCCTTATTGCCCCCCCCCCTTTCCCTCCTATTTTCCATCCCCGAGGACGCCTGTCGACCTGCAAGGCACTTGCTCACAGCTCGGAAGCAAACACGTCGGGATGCTATCGGGCGGAGCGCGAGTCGTAGCGGGACAATGCAAGCGCTTGGGAATGGGAGAAGCGGCGCGAGGGGAGCTCATGGAAGAAGGTCTGCAGGAGCGGGAGGGGGTCTGCAGGAGCCGGAGGAAGGTGTGAAGGAGCTGGAGGAGGGTGTCAAGGAGCCGGAGGAGGATGTCAAGGAGCTGGCAGAGGGTGTACAGGAGCTGGAAGAGGGTGTACAGGAGCTGGAGAAAGGTCTGTGAGGGCTGGAGGAAGGGTGTGCAGGAGCTGGATGAGGGTCTGCTGCAGGAGCTGGAGGAGGGTGTCAAGGAGCTGGAGAAAGGGTGTGCAGGAGCTGGAGGAAGGGTGTGCAGGAGCTGGGGGAGGGTGTCAAGGAGCTGGAGGAAGGGTGTCACGGAGCTGACGGAGGCCTACAGGAAGGAGGAGGCGCGCGCGATGAGCGCCCCGACGCGACGGGCTTGTTGCGTCAGTCCGGGCCGGCGCCGTGACATTTGCACTAGGCGCGGCAGGATGGGGCGAGCGTACCGTACCTGGAACCTCGGGCAGGTGGGGCTGCTTGCGGACCCACTCCCGCAGCTGGTCGACGTGCTCCCTCTTGAGGGAGGGGTTCTTCTTGAGCTCATCGTCGAGGCTCACGACCCGGGGCTTGGCCATCGTGCACGGCGCTCGGGGACAACTTCCCCCTCCGGCTGGCGCGCGCTCTACATGGACCGGACCGGCGCGCGGGGGGGCTGTGGTGGTGCTCGGCGTACCGCGGCGCTACGACTGCCTGCTCCTACCTGGACTGGCCGCGCGCTGCGCTGACCTACCGCTTCTCCCGCCGCGCTTCGCCACACCACGCCTCCCTCCCAGCCTTTCGCCGCCTCCCGTGATCTTTCTCCACCCCACTCCCCTCCCTCTCTTCTCCCATGGCAGGGTGAGGCTGCCTGGAATCGCTCGGAACGGTTGTTGTGACGCGCACTGGCGGCCGCGGGTTGGGTGCCCAGTAGTGCCCGCGGGCAGTAAGTGCCGGCTGGCCTCCGCGAAGGGTACTTTACTATAAAGTCAAGCGTACTCCGATTTTCATTTTAAAAATTTTTCTTGTGTTTTTTTTTTGTCCTTTCTTCTTCTTTTTTTGTTGAGTGAAGTACTCCTCGAGCCTCCGTGTCATCGCGCTGTCGCCGGCTCAACGCCTCGGGGGAAGTCCCCCCCCCCCTCTAATCACCCCTTCCCGACGGCTGCTGCGGCCGGCCGGCGCCGCCCCGAGCCGCGTTGTTATGTGGAGATAATGGGGCGCGAGACGAGACGAGGCGGCGCCAGGATGGAAAGTAGGAATGGAGAAATGACCGCATCGCACTGAAGGCGCCGGCGGAGACCAGGCAGGGGTGGTCAAAACCAGGCAGGGGAAGCTGCTGGTCGAGACTAGACAGGGGAGGCTGCTGGTGGAGACCAGGCCGGGGAAGCTTCTGGTCGAGACCAGACAGGGGACGCTGGTGGTCGAGACCAGGCAGGGGACGCTGCTGGTCGAGACCAGGCAGGGGACGCTGCTGGTGGAGGCGCGCGCGCGGCGACAAGTGGGGGAGGGGGTGGCCTTCGTCCGCCCGTCTACGGCAGATAAGAGTCCTGGGCGCTGTCGTGGACGGAGTCCTGTGGCGGCACTGACATTGACCCTGCCGTACCTCTCTGAGGAGGCGCCGTTGCGGTAGGCAAGCCCGCGCGCCTTGCCTGCGCTTGGCGCTCGATGGTTGCCTAGCCCGACGGGCGCCGTGCCCAAGAGGCTGCACTCTGTACCTCGGCTCAGGTAGATTGGCGATTCGGCTTTCAACGCAACGAACCGGGGAGGTACAGATGTGGAGGGGGGGGCGATGCACTGTCGGTTGCCTACATACAGGGGTTTTGTGGCGCAAATTGCCTACCTTTCAGGCGGCTGTCTAGAAGGTACAGGGGGGGGGGGGGGGGGGGGGACTTTCAGCTGTAGCCAAGTCACAAGTCCCAATTGAGATTCACCTCATGGCGAGGCGAGGGCGTCTGTCTCTCTTTTCCTTCCTGGTGTTTGTACACGCCAAAAAGAAAACGAGCCATGCGCGTGTCAGGTGTTCCTCACCTCAGTGAACGCCCAAAGGCCCAAGTCTGAACGCTGCACCCTCTCTGCCGCAGGTCTGCTCAACAGCCCGAGCAAGACGCGCGTCATGGACTCGCGCATCGACACCGGCATCCTGGACTGGGGCGAGCCCGTGTCGTCTGCTGCGAAACGTAAGTGCTCCAGTCGGCTCTTTTTTTGCTCCAACTCGAGCTACTTCCATCTGTTTTACGCGTTGCCTGGCTCTTTCCCTTCAGCCGCCGCTGCTTCTGCTGCCGCCGAGACCTCCCTGGACCTGGACTGGTCACAGCCCGTGACTGCGGCGCCCAAGGACGAGCTGGTCCTGGACTGGGGCGACGACAAGGACGAGGAGGACGAGGACGAGGAGGCCAGCAAGCCCATTGAGATGAAGCCGACCGTCACCACCTCCGCGCCGACGCCCGCCAGTCCTTCGGTTCAAAGCAAGTGGCAAATACAATTTATGGAGAGTGTATTATGATAAAAAATGATTCTCAGAGATTATTGTTTGTGATTGTGTTTTGTTTATTCTTTTCAGAAGAAGAAGACAACAGCAGAGGTGGAACTTTGGATATAATGGCTCAGCAGCTGAAGTTTGTGGCATGCCTCAAAATTTTGATGGAAGAACTATCTACTCTTGCAACTGGATTTGAGGTTGATGGTGGACAACTCAGATACCAGCTTTATGTCTGGTTGGAGAGAGAAGTTGAGGCTCTCCGGCAACTTTGTAACTACAGTTCAGGCGATGGTGAACCTTTAGCACCAAATGAGTGTAAGTCTAACATTTATGAGCATTGCATATAACTCATATTTTCAATCTGGAAATTGTCTATATCCTTTCTGTTTATACAGATGAGACAGGTGATCCTTATGACATGCGCGATTACACAAGTACCCCAACTATGATGAGGCCAGGGGAAAAACCAACCCTTCATGAGATCCTCATGGCTGAAAAATTGGACTTTGAGGCCAAGGTACAGCGAGCTGCAAAGAGAAAGCGTTGGCTGAAAGGTTGGTATGAGTTAAACCTGTCTGTTTTCAACTGTGATCATTTCTTAATATATTATCATACTTTCTCAAATTTTAGCAAACGAAACTCTGCTTCGCACTCTACTGAGTTATTGTAGCTTG